CCGAGCCCGGCTCTTTTTTTTTTTAAGAGACTAATTTTATTCTAGATCATGTGCTATTTGTGTAAATAAAATTTCTTTTTTTTTTTTCCCAAGTAATTGTCTAAAATTTCTATAACCTTGCTCTGGATGGAGCAGGGCAAGGCCTCAAACTGTGTCAAAACTCTTCTGGCAAGCACTGTAGAAATACATAGGGTCAGCCGGGCTTGGTGACTCAGTCTGTAATCCCAGCACTTTGGGATGCCGAGGTGAGTGGATTGCCTGCGCCCATGGGTTCGAGACCCACCAGGCAACTTGGTGAGACCTCATCTCTACAATAAATCAAAAATTAGCCGGGCGTGGTGGTGCACACCTGTAGTTCCAACTACTTGGAAGGCTGAGGCGGAGGGATCGCCAGAGCCCAGCAGGTCGAGGCTGCAGTGGTCAGGAGTGGCCACTGCACTCCAGTCTGGGCGACAGAGTGAGACTCCAACTAAAAAAAAAAAAAAAAGAAAGAAAGAAATACATAGGGTCACAGTGGACTAGTAGACCCAAGCATGCTGGAAGCTTGCTACAAATTCACATTCTTTGTCTCATAAATGATTAGCCAAACTGTTTGTTGCCTCTGTCAATGTGAACAAAATATCCACTAACCCGACTTGACCAAAGTTTAGTCAGGTTTCAGCATTATCCAGAGGTCCTGGGACATTGACCTATTCTTGAGCTTAAGCAAGCTCTGGAATGGTGAAAAACCTCAAACCTCTCTTTAATGGCTTCTGCCAGGAATTGGCTGACCTTAGGGAAAGACGTTTCCTGGTCAGATTGATTGCCCCATCTGTTCATTCCACTTCTCCACACCTGGTTCCTTGTAGTTTTGTTTACTCCTCACTCTAAAAAAAAAAGCTCTTTCTGCCTAATGTTTGAGACTCTCACAGACCTTATGAGCAGAGTATTTTCCCTATTGCAATAGTCTTCAAATAGTGTCTCTTTACCTAAATCCAGATTTGTTTTTTATTTGACAATACCAACCTTCAGGGCTTCCTGGAGCTTGCATAATTCACCTTCCAAAATGCAAAACCGTTGTTTTAGACTGTGAAGTTCTTGGCAGATACGAGTTGGAAAAGATGGTGTCTTTCAATACTACTAAACTCTGAAATTCATAAATAAACAAGTCTGAATCCTGTGAGCAATATATAAGGACAAGAAAAAAGAAACTAGAAAGTGATTTGATGTATGTTATAGAGAAGCAAAGGTAGACATGACCACAAAATTTCATTTTATCTGAACTTAGCCTGAGTATTGTGCTGACCTGAGCACATACACACATGAAAACTAATAACAAGTGTATAGAAAACTGTATTGCTAAATACAGGAATGTGAAATCCATACCTGGGCTATGCAGTTCTGGCACCAATTGTGTATAGACCACACTCTATCTGTCCAAAGTTTTACTGCATTTTTGATGTTGGGACATTTGAATTTCCAGGGTAGTCTTAGCCAGCTTCTGCTATGAGATATATCTGTTGAACAAATAATCACTCTGTACGAAAAACAAAATCAAACAAAAATTTGAAAACCATGAGTTGAATAATAGCCTCTTATTAAACAAAAAGCTGATCTTATAGCTCAGAAGCAGAGACTCCCTACAACAATATTCTTCATTAAATTCTAGAATTCAGGGATTCAACAAATATTTATTAAGTACCTATGTGTTTTAGGCACCAGGGATTCAGTATTGAACAACATAGATAAAAATCCCTGCCCTTTGCCGGACGCAGTGGATCAAGCCTGTAATCCCATCACTTTGGGAGGCTGAGGCGAGAAGATTGCCTGAGTCCAGGGGTTTGAGATCAACCTGGACAACTTGGTGAGAACTCATCTCTACAACAAATCAAAAATTAGTCAGGCACGGTGGTGTGTGCCTGTAGTTCCAGCTACTTGGAAGGCTGAGCCAGAAGAATTGCCTGAGCCCAACAGGTGGAGGCTGCGGTGACCGTGAGCCTGCCACTGTACTCCAGCCTGGGCGACAGAGTGGGACTCCAACTCAGAAAAAAAAAAATCCCTGCCTTCATAGAGTTTACAGTTTCATGAAGCAAGAAAGGTAAAAACAAACAAACAAACAAACAAACAAATAAATCCACCTAGATAACATTAATATAGGACCATAGGGTAAAAACTAAAAGACCTGAGTCTCGCAAAGGTGCAGCTATGCTTAGAAGTTAACAAATCTGTTAGCTGGGGGTGGGAGTGGCTCATGCCTATAATCCCAGCACTTTGAAAGGCGAAAGATGATCACTTGAACCTAGGAGTTTGAGACCAGCCTGGACAACAAAGTGATACCCCATCTCTACAAAAACTGCAAAAATTAGCAGCTTGGGAGGCTGAGGTAGAAGGATCACTTGAGCCCAGGAGGTCAAGGCCATGGTGGGCCTGGATTGTGCCACTGCACTCCAGTCTAGGTGATAGAGTGAGACTCTGTCTCATTAATAAATAAATAAAATAAAAATAAATTAGCTGGGTGTGGTGGTGTGCGGCTATAGTCTCAGCTACTCAAAAGGCTGATGCAGGAGGATAACTTGAGCCCGGGAGTTGGAGACTGCGCTGAGCTGTGATCATGTCACTGCACTCCAATGTGGGCAACTGAGACTCTAACTCAAAAACAAAACAAAGCAAAAAACACAAAAAACCCCCAAATCTGTTGTTTCTAACTTTCACTTCAATAGAGAACAATCATCTTTTCTTTTCTTTTCTTTTTTTTTGAGTCAGAGTCTTACTCTGTTGCCCAGGCTGGAGTGCAGTGGCATGCTCATGGCCACCGCAGCCTCGAACTGCTGGGCTCAGGTGCCTCAGCTTTCCAAGTAGCTGAGATATAGGCACACGCTATCATGCCCAGTTAATTTCAGGCAATCCTCTTGTCTCTGCCTCCCAAAATGCTAGGATTACAGGCATGAACCACTGTGCCTGGAGAATTATCTTTTCATGCCCTGACCTTGGGGAAGAGGGAAGATGCCCTTGAGCCTGATAAACATATTTCCTCTTAAATAATGAACATAAGGTCACACAGATCTCCTTGATGGCATACTAAAGTTTAATTGGCTGAAGGGCACAAGCAGTTCTAATAACCAGGTTTCCCACCTTCTCTATACCTTCTTCCTACATTACCTGTGTAATGACTTATTTGAGGATCACTAGACTTGCTCTACAGATAGCCTTGCTATTATAAAACCCAAAAATGGTGTTTTTTGGACTTTGTACCCTGATGCTCTGAGGCTCCACCCAGACCCAGAACACATACCAAGAAGCTAACTCCACCAGCCCTGTGATGTTCCCTCCCAGACACTGGCTCTGTGACCTGACAATAGTCGACATCTCCCATGACATCATCTCCAGCCAATCAACAGTCCCTAGCCACCTATCTGCCAAATTCCCATTAAAAAAAACCTAGCCTCAGCTGGGTGCAGTGGTTCATGCCTATAATTCTAGCATTTTGGGAGGCTGAGGTGAGAGGATTGCCTGAGTCCACGAGTTTGAGACCAGTCTGGGTAACTTGGCAAGACCTCATCTCTACAATAAATAAAAAAATTAGCCAGCATGATGGCACATGCCTATAGTTCCAGCTACTTGGAAGACTGAGATGGAAGGATTGCCTAAGTCCAGCAGGTCAAGGCTGTGGTGGCTGTCAGTGTACTACTGTGATCCAGCTTTGGTGACAGAGTGAGACTCCAACTCAAAAAACAAACAAACAAACAAACAAACAAAAAATCTCGCCTCTGAATTCTTGGGGAGGAGTATTTAAGAAATATCTCCCGTCCTCCTTGCTCAGCTGCTTTGTGATATCAAACTCTTTCTCAGTTCTTCTGGCAAATGGACATAAGAACCTAGTCAGCCTGTAACATACATATGTACAAGGAGGGGTACTAAAACAACCTGAAATTTATTTATTAAAAATTGTGAGCCAGGGCTGAGGTGAGTGGATTGCCTGAGCCCACAGGTTCGAGACCCGCCTGGGCAACTTGACGAGACCTCATCTCTACAATAAATCAAAAAATTAGCTGGGTGTGGTAGCGCACACCTGTAGTTCCACCTACTTGGAAGGCTGAGGCAGAAGGATCGCCAGAGCCCAACAGGCGAGGCTGCAGTGGCCGGGAGCAGCCACTGCACTCCAGTCTGGGCGACAGAGTGAGACTCCAACTCAAAAAAAAATTGTGTATTTATTTTTAAACATTTAAACTTCAGGCACCTTCAAAGTACTCTCCATTTGAAAGAACACACCTATCAAGTTGCTTTTTTCCACTGCTTAAAAGTTTTTGAACTCGTCAATTTTGCTGCCTTTTAGTACTTTTGCCGTTTTGTTTCACCTCTTCCACATTGGCAAAACATTTCCCTTTGAGGACTTTATTCATCCAGGGAAACAGGAAACTGTTGCTTAGGGCGTGATCAGGTGCATATGGAGAGTGAGGCACAGGGGTAATGCTGTTTTTGGTCAAAAACTGCTGAACACAGCAGTGTTGGCAGGTATGCTCATAAATCACCCATCATATTCTAAGTTACTTAGGCCTGAATCATCCGGGTAGCTGTCCTCATTTTGGTTCAAGTAAATTCTTTAAACTATAATTGATGCTTCAGCCTCTTCCCTTTTGGTTAACAGACAACAGTAAGTACAAAGGTTGTGAGGTGGAAGTTTGCCTGCAGTGTTTGGGAAGTAGCAGTGAGGCCAGGATGACCAGGGTAGAGTAGAGAGACTTATTTGAAAATAGGTAAGAGTCAGATCATAAAGGTTTCGTGGGTTATACTAAGGACTTTAATTTTTATTCTGAGAAAGGAAGGCATAAGAGAGTTTTAAGCAGAGGAGCAACGTAACAAAATTTTCATAGGTTTACTTTGGCAATTAGAAGATTTTTATGATATTCAGGAGAGATAGGAAAGAGTAAAGCAAGGAGTCACCATGGTTACTGCCTTTTGAGAGTGTGTTTTAAAACTTTGTTGGCCAGGCTCAGTGGTTCAGCCTATAATCCCAGAAATTTGGGACACCAAGGCGAGTGAATTGCCTGAGCCCACAGGTTCGAAACCAGACCCAGGAACTTGGTGAGACCTCATCTCTACAAAAAAAATAAAAAATAAAACTTTGGTTTTTTTTGAGTCAGAGTCTCACTCTGTCGCCCAGGCTGGAGTGCAGTGGCACATTCACAGCCACTGCAGCCTCAACCTGCTGGGCTCAGGTGATCCTTCCGCC